AACTAAGCAGCCTAGAAAAACAGAACAAAATTTATCAATTTATTAACTCACTTCTAAATGTCAGAAGTCCAGCTTGACATGTAACGTTCTCTGTTGAGAGTATCATTAAGCTGAAATCAAGGTGTCAGCCAGGCTATGTTCCTTCTGAAGGTTCTGGGGAAGAATTCACTTCCAAGTTCATTCAGGATGTTGGCTGAGTTGATCCTTGACGTTGTAGGGCTGGGGTCCCATTTTCTTTCTGGGTTGCCACCAGGACTTAGGCCCTCAGCCTCTGGCGGTTGCTCTCAGGTTCTTTTCACAGGGGCTCCCTCCATCTTCAAAGTCAGAGGAAAATTACTCTCATATTGAATCCCTCCTACACTTTGTATCTCTCTGACTTCCTCTCTCTCTAGCCTCTCCACCCATATTTAAAGGGCCTGTATGATTAGATCAGGCCCACCAACTCATCTCTCTATCTTAAGGTCAACTGGCTTGAGACCTTAATTATATTTGCAAAGGTATTCAAGTAGTACCTAAATTAGTGTTTGATCAAATAACTGGATGTTAACAACAGGGTCTGGGAATCTTGGGGCCCATCTCTGCCTATCACAGGGTCATATCATTAGAATACAAGATACAGTAATCAACAAATACAAGGTGTTATGGTATTACTGTTTAGGTCTGTGGACTCCAGATAATTCAACAGCTGAAATTCTTGAAAACCGATCTTCCTAGAGTGTTTTCCTCAATCAACTTCAGGTATTGAGAGATCACTAATAGTTATCTATCTGTCTATCTATCTATCTACCTATCTGAAAGATAGTGAATACATGCATTTCAAGTACTGTAAAAGAAGAGAGATATGTATTTAGTGCCCACAATGGTTTCCCCACAGCCACCATATAATTTCACCCCAACTCTGCTCCTCTGAGGGAAGTATTAGTGTCCCCATTTTCTGAGGAGGATACCAAGGCTCAAACTGTTTACTGAGTAAGAGTTGCCACAGCTGGCACTGATTTCCATCTAGAGACCTTGTAAATGCAAAAGTGCACTGCCAATATTAACCAGTATTCACACAATAAATAATAAAATACATTTAAAAAGGGGAAGGCACAAGAGCCAACTTGAAGGGACTCCTAATGGCTAAACCTAGGATTTGTGCAACAAAATAATGATAGTAACAGATTATAACTCATAGAATAAAATATATACTCACTAGTCTATACTGATATAAACAACTGAATATAGAAATGACAATGAAAGGAAAGCTCTTCCTTTACAGTAGAATTCCAATAAATAAATATACTAGGGATGATGGAAATAGAAAATTACCATTTGACAGATACCAGAGAGATAAGTATTTCAGGCAAGAATCATCAAGATTGTAAAATATGTGGGCAGAATGAGAAATTTATATAGTTTTGAAGTATCTTTCCAAAAGATAATTATTAATTACAAAGGAGAAAATTGTAAATTTACAAGAGACAAACCTGGCAGATACCCCCTTGACCAAGTAATCAGTTACAATCACCAATAAAGAGACAAACTGACATCCCATGCCTCCTGGTATGACGCACTGAGGTTACATCATTTCTATGGATTTCTTATTAAAAATGCATAATTATGGGAAGTAACAAACAGAAATTGAGTGCCATCTGATAAAATAACTAACCAGAATACTCGTCAAAAAGTATCAAGACCATGAAAGGCAAAGAAATTCTGAGGAATTGTTTAAAGAGGACTAAGGAGGTACAACTAAATACATGACATGGATTGAATCTTGAGGTGAGGCAAAAAAGGGATGTTAATAAGACAACAGTGAAATCTGAACCTTCCTTTTTTTTAGGTTTTTGACATATTCTTAAGAGTTGTCTGAAGTCACTCTTTCCATGTAATCA